TGTTTCAAGTTTTGTGTCACAAGGGTTTACATTGTAAAGGACTCTCCTGCATTCCTTTATTTCTAATGAAAGAAGTAAATTCTAGTCACTTGTAAAATACTCAATAGCTTATTAGATTTATAAATTAGTCACGAATGCTGTAAAATTTCAGTGATTTGAAAAATGAAGTAACAAAAAAGTGGTACACGAAACAGACTATGTATTAATAGACACTATAGTATAAGAAATGTTTACTAATTTTTTGTTTACCAAAATGTACAGATAACAAATTAATAGAACCTCAAAGTAAACTTCAAGTATTCAAGTAGGGAGTTGTTATTTGAAAATAAATTTAATTGCATCTAGTTAAATCCTTAAATAATTTTCATAGCCGAAACTCATGTTCTTCATTACTTATCTTTCCTACATGCACAATTGGTCTCGCTTGGCTTCTTGAAATGATTGCTTGGCTGATGGTATTTGTCAACAGTTACAATTTGAAATGACTTTTGTTACAGGTACAAGTATCGCATTCTGATGTCAGAAGGTGAAATACTTAATGAGACATCTGCAAAGGTTTTTGAAGCAAGAAGCACCCCTTATATAGTCCCTCAAGTTTCACCAGGAGTTGCTTATATATTTGGTGTCCAGCTGGTAATGGATGATGGTTACGTTTCTCTTGTATCTGAAGGCTTCACGGTCATGGATACACAATCTAGTATGTAACCTCTGAGTATGCTTTTTTTTTTTTTTTAGTGTTAACAATTTTCTTTAATTTTTGTTAGCCTTCTTGGCACAGGGTTTTGAAATATTACTCAAAATGTGAATCTAAAGGCTTCAAGTGCAAGTCTCGCATAAGACATGCTTGATTTCACTATGTGGTTGTGACATGGTTCGCTTCTCATGCCATTAGGTTTCCTATATGAGCCATCAACACATTCACAAACATTCACTTCTGATTGTCATTCACCCCTTATGATCAGTCTATCCTCATCCATATGTAGAGGAAGTTGAGGCTGAAGTTTGTGATGGTGCAAAAGGAAAGCCATTAAAATATAAGCCACCCTCCTCATCTCCTTGTGACATTGATGTCTGAGCATAGATGATGTTGAAGCAGCGAAAGATTGGAAGAGCTTTTTTGAAGAAATTCTTCCTGGCATCTGCTAACACGTCTGTTTGCATTTCGTTACTCTGAAAACGTTCAAATACATTGACAGTTGGCATTCTCCGTGTAAAAATTATTAAATGTTGAGTGAAGAGAAGTGCTAAGATTACCTGGTTCTGGCGAACGTAAAGCGTGTATTGCTTAACGTCTACACTTGAGCAAGGCGTGTCCCCACGAAACTGCTCAGCTCCAGATTCTCAATGTGTGTCTCTCTCTCTCCTTATGTAGAAATCGCTCGCGTCTTATGTAGAAAAAATCGGATTTGGAGATGTTATTACAACACGCAAGATACTCACTGGCAGGCTAGGAGTTGTTGCAATCTAAGTCATCTTTGAAAGCTGTTCAAAGACTTACATTCAAAAGAAATGCCATACATTTCCTGTGGATGTTAGCCGTCAGATTTGAGCAAACATTTTTCTATGTTTGGCACGGTATGTTTAAAATGTATGTCTTTGCTGTTAATTAGCATCAAAGAATTGTTATAAATGATCGAATTCCCAGTATGGCACCCAAATTTGAATTAATTTGACTGCCTACAGGTGTGGGTGTAAATTTTTTACTGTTGCTTGAGAATATAAAAGTGGCTAAATCTGTAAAAATATCACTTCATTCTTTGTATCTCACTGCACATCGTACCATACTCCTCATAATACTACTCGCACCTTATTCTACCCTACACACCTTACACTGCACCAAATCGTCTACCTCATACACAGATTATACTACACCTTCTCTATTGTCTTAATTTATATTCTGAAGAATTGATAAAGAAGTTTTGCCAAATAGTAAGAAAGAAATTAGCTACTATATTCAGACTCAGATTTTAACACATGAGTTAATAGAATGTTGCTTACAGGTTCCTGGCGAGATGTGCTTCTGCCATCAAATCTTGCCACCATCTTAGTACCTGTTATCTTGCTGCTGCTGGTACTGGTAGCTGGATTAGTGTTCTTTGCGATGCGGCATCGCAGACTGCAACGATCATTTGCCAGTTTTGCCAACTCGCATTATGACACACGATCCGGAGCAGCTACTTTCTCAGGCAGTGATGGCCTAGGTGAGTGTTTCAGGCATTTGGGCTTCTTATTGAATTGATAATTGTGTTGTAGAAATTCAGCACAAGCTCGTTAAGTTTCAATTAAATATTGGCTGAGTAATTCATCGTTATTGTTATTATTCTTATAATGATTATTATTAGTGATATTACTATTATTTTTGTGATAGTTATTATTATTATTATTATTATTATTATTATTATTATTATTATTATTATT